CGAGGTCTGCTCAGCTCACTAGTATTCCCCTAGCATTCCAGGATGATAGCAATCAAACCTTTTATCAGAGCTATTTGGGCATATTTGTTTCTTCCCATTAGATTACAAACTCACAGGAGAGCTACCTTTTCATCATCTTGTTTCCCCTGGCACCTAACAGAGTGTTGCACTTACAGAAATTATCCAAAAAACGTTTAGTGAACTAAATCACTCACAAGCACACATGGAACACCAGAGCCGACAGTCTCTCCTTCCCTGAGACCATCAGATTTTAAGACCATCTGCCTGAGGTAGTTACACCTTTTTACATCTGGCTGATAGTGTAATAGGAAATGAAACGTTTTTAAACAGAATCTGGAAAGCATTTATGTTAACCCACCCCAAAATTCCATGAGTATAAGCAGCAAAAAAATGGACTTTAGGAAGAGATATGAGACCACCTAAATATTTTATAGATTGGCGAACGCACTTCCCAGTGGTCAAACACCTGAGTGACAGATCAGTCACCACCAGCATATATGACTCATTCTGGACATCCCAATCCTGGTAGGAAACAGTGCACCTCTGCAGTAAGCAGGCACAATGATGCCCACCCCATTGCTGTAAGCCTCACAGAGACCTAATGCATCTTCAGAAAGTTGGGCAGGACAAGGAGAAACTTAGTCTGAAAACACTTTAAAAGTAGATGAAGACACATCACAACCCCTCTAAAGGTCTGTTAGAGTCCGATTTCTACTGGCCTTACGAAATTGACAATGAAAGAAAAAGGACAAGATCAAAAGGAAGCACAGTACCATCCTGCCGACACTTGTTTTTATTCCAAAAAGCAGAGAAGAGGAACAAGATATTCCAGGCATCAAAATGACACAGAAAATGCCTAAGGAGTTAAAAATTCTTACTAGAAGTTTGAAAGCTGAAATATACACCACTGTAATATCATGCTACCAACAGTCTTGGAAAGTTCTGTTCCTCTTTATATAAGAAGACAAGAATTTGGCGCTTAGCCCAGATTTCTCTTCTTTACCCCCAATAATAATAATTTGATTTCTCCCACAGAACAAGTCCCCTAATTCTCTGATAAACAAGCTTCTGTGCCTTTAAGATAGTTAAGTTATTAAGTCCTAACTTCACCAATGGGAAAATGAGGCCATCAACTGGTAAAATCATTTATAAAGGAGTATACAACAAGTTAGTAATTAAGCCAGTATGCCATCTCCTCAGTTCGGATGTTATTAGAAAATTTGTAGGTTTTATACATTACACTCTTTAAATATAAATTGACAGGATAATAAAGGCCACTGCAAAAGAAAAATAAAAGGATGGAAGCAACTGAACTTCATTTGTAACTTTTATCAACAGCTATGTTGTACAGGTTTGTGATATCCCCTTTAACTGGGATACAATTGTAATCTATGTTGAAATAGCATTTGAAATGTATTTTCTTTTTTTTTTTTTTTTTTGACTTGGAGTCTCACTCTGTCACCCAGACTGGAGTGCAGTGGCCACTCCTGGCCACTGCAGCCTTGACCTGCTGGGCTCCGGCGATTCTTCCGTCTCAGCCTTCCAAGTAGCTGGAACTACAGGCACATGCTACCACGCCCGGCTAATTTTTTTTTTTTTTTTTTTGTAGAGATGAGGTCTCGCCAAATTGCCCAGACGGGTCGTGAACCCGTGGGCTCAAGCAATCCATTCACCTCGGCCTCTCAAAGCGTGAAATGTATTTTCAACTCAGAAAAAAGACTACCTGGCACAGAGCAGCTTATGCGAGAAACCACAGCTTTACTCCACTCCATGGTCTTAAGGACTTCATCTGGATGCACATCATAAGCAACTCTAACAGTGAAAGTATAAATAAAATTAAATTTAAAATGAGAGAGAATACCTGGAGTTGGGCTAACAGATTGGAAAAAATTTAGATCTGGAACTCATGCCACTTGCAAAAATAAAAGAAAGAAAAGTATCATATGCAAATTTAAAACTAAAATATGGAAAGCAATTTTTATAATCACGGAGTGGGGACGTTTTCTCTTAGCATAAGAATCAGGCCAGAAGCTATTAAAAAAGGGGGGCTAAACTTATGGAAAAGACCAAGATATTTGGTTAAACAGAAATCAAAACTACTCTATTGAAAAAGGCATTTTAACAAAGTTAAAAGGTAAACTAAATACTGGCAAAAATACTTATTTGTTACACAAAACAAAGGACTAATACCAAGAATAAAGAGATTAAAAAATGTAATAATTCAAAAGATAAATAACCAAAGGAAACACAACGGCCAATAAGCATGCAAAGGTGCCTAATCTCAGTACTAATTTTTAGAACATAAAAATTAAAACAAGAAAGCATTTTTTAACATCAAAATCAGAAAATGAAAATATTGAGATTGCTCACAATTGGAGAAAACTAGGGGCTTACTCATAAGTCACTGATGGGTGTCAGAGACATTCACAACCTTTCTGAAGGGCATTCTAAGCAATATCCATCAAATTTTTAATTCTGCATACTCTTTCCTCCAGGAACTCCATCTTACAGCAATGGTCGTGTAAGACTATATACAGAGGTTTTATTGATAATAACCAATTACTGATAAGTATCTACATATCCTTCAACGAGGGATTAGTTAAATACACTGTAGTACAACCATGCAATGAAAATCAACTTGATATAAAAAAGAATTTGTAGGAACTACCTAAGTGTCAAGAATAAAAAGATGCCTACAATATATACTGGTAATTAAAAGCCATATAGAAACTAAAAGTCATATAGAACATATCTGTAAGTTTAAAAATAGCACATATTAAATAACTCCATTTTTTAATCAAAAGTCTGTCAACTTTTGATAGATTGCTTTTGGGGAGTGAAACGGGGGGATTTATGCTCTATTTTATACATTTCTGCATTGTCTGAACTAAATATACTTGTAAATTTAAAAATTAAAAAAATTTAACTTTGAATAAATTGAATAAAATCACAAACATGTATTACAAACGTTTATGCTGTAGCCCACACTCCAACTTGACATTGCATGGATTCAAAACACAACACTGTGGAGTACACACCTCAGATGAAACTATGATGAACACAGGCTCATGGAGACAGTGTGGTTCTCTAAATCCTAGCAAAATCCAGTGCTCTGCTTCCTACAAAAGGCAAGACGACCTCAAAATGTAGGGCACCCCTACATATTGTAGAATTCCCATAACTTCACTCACCAAAAGTACCCATGAAGAAAGTCACTCACCAAAAGTACCCATGAAGAAATGAATCTGGAGATCATGTCCTCTAGGTGTGCCTCTGTGCACACCCGACTAGGGAAACTCAGAAAGTGTGAAGTCCATACAGCGGGTATTCCCCACGGTACTCAAAAGCTCAGCAAAAGCCAAGGGCTCCTCAGCTGTGTCCAGGTAGCATAATGTATTCATCAGCTGGCTGGCAGGCTAGTAAAAGAAGGAGCCTACCTCCCAGCTTCAGAGGAAGCCAAAGAACTGAGCGGGGACAAGGACAGCTATACAGAGAGAGGGTATTTCCTTAAAACAAATCTAGGGAGCACCTACCACTTCCTGTGCTGAAAATGTTAATTATCTCCCTCTAGTTTTATTTCCACATCAGAATTTACTCAGGTTCGACTGTTTTCATTTGCACTTCAGCCAAGTTTCTTGACTCACATTAAGAGGGAACACAGTCTTCTCCGGCAAAAAGTCTTTCTCTACTATTGTGTCCTTGATTCTCTCTGTTCTCTCACTTGCAAGGACTTTCACAATTTCACCATTCCACCCATGTGTACTTATAAATTTATAATTTCTAATAAGAAAACATGTAACTGATAGTCACCCCTGCTCCAGTGGTATTTTACCAATGTTTAAGTGCTTATCCTCAACTCATCCTTAAAGGCAAACTCCCAGGCGATAGCCTTCAAAATGCACCAACATACATTTAAAAGACAAAGGTTGTGGAAATAAAAACCATCAAGAGACATGGCAACTTAATGCAGGACCTGACCCCAGATGGGTCCTATATGGAAGGGGAATGACCTTATAAAGACACCGTGATCAAATGGCAACATTGGAATTCAAATAATAGATTAGGTGTTAAGAAATGAATGAATATCAAACTATACGAAGTTGATAACTGAACAGCTGTTACCCACGTAGATATCTCTGTTCTTAGAAAGTACATGCTGAAGTGTTCAGGGGAAAAAGGTCATGATGTGTGTAACTTAAAAACCGTGGATGTGGGTTTGTGCACATGCTTGTGTGTACACTGGTGTAGACAGAGAGTAAAAGAAGGATGGAAATCCATTCTAAACAATCCAAGGCCTGGAGCCAAGTGTGCTGGGGGGTGGTTACTTCCGACAGAGCGTCTTCACAGACCCATCTTACTTTCTGCTACTAAAGAAAATGCAGTATTTGCGAACACACAAAAGTACGGGAGCAGCTCTGACTTCATCCTCTGGCTGAGGAAGGGGTTTAGGCGACAGTCCCCTGGGCTGTGGGCAAAGCTGACTAAACCTTGCACCACCCACCCACTCAATCACCTTCCTAACAATGGCTCCTCTCAGTATATCCAGAGCACTTCCTATGCCTCGAATCTAAGGGAGACTCTAAGCAGATATGTATAAACCAAGTATAAAAAACATTTTTTCAGAAACAAGGTCTCCCTGTGTTGCCCAGGCCGGCCTTGCACTCCTGGGCTCAAGCAATCCTCCTGGCTCAGTCTCCTGAGTAGCTGGGACTACAGGTGTGTGCCACCATGCCCAGCCAGCACATCCTCTTAAACACATTAAGGGCTGCTCACAGGGACGTATTAGTGACTCCTTTTGATGTCCTCAATTTAGGCAATTCCAAAGTTCAAATGGGCTTTCTTAATCAACCCACCAGCCAGAGAACTGAAATGATTGTTAAAAAAAAAAATGAATGAGACACATAAACCCAATTTAAAAATCAAAAGGTCTGTGTGGGGTACAGCTGAGTCCACCACTCCAGCCGTGCCAGCGGGCTTACCTGACAGGAGAGACCAGCAGGCTCCTGCTCACAAGGCCTGGGTAAGAACCTACAAAAGAAGAAAGATCCCATCAGATTCCCAGAAAAACTTTGGGTTAGCAGTTTTCAAAATGAGGACCCCTGGAGGTCCATCCTCAAGACCATTCTAGGCATCCACAAGGTCAAAAACATTTTCATGATGACGCCAAGGCATTATATACCTTTTCCACTCTCCTGTTCTCAACAATGTACAGAGGAGTCTTCCAGAGACTGAGCCATAAGTGACAGTGCAAAAGACTGAATGCAGAAGATGATAAGAGAATCCAGCTGTCTTCTCTTAAAATAGGCATCAAAGAAATTTGCAAAAGTATGAAACAATGCCGTTCTGCTCATTACATTTTTGTTTTAAAAATAGTTATTTTAATCAACTATGTTATTTATAATAAAATGTAAATAACGTATTACTGCTATTTTAAATTAATTTTTTTTAAACTTCTCAATTTTAATACTATTTGGGTAAATATCAACAGAGATAAGCCATATAATCCAAAGCTCTTTAGGATTCTAATAATTTTTGAGAATGTCAAGGAGATTCTAAGACCAAAAGTTTTGAGATCTGCTGTTGCAGGTATACATTTTGGTACTAAATTCTATTTAAACTGCATTGGCTTTTAATGTAACAGCAATGGTCAATATTAGGTATACAGTATTGACCCTCTACTAGACACTCAACTAAATGCCTTATATATGTTACTTCCCAACTCACGACCACTTTAAAAGAAAACAACAACAATTAGCCTTTTCTGCTTCCTGGATGAGGAATCTGGTACTCAAGAGATTATTCCTCATTCCAGGCAAATCAGCAAGTGCAGGATATGAAATGAAGTTGGCCCGGCTCCTAAGATCACGATCTTTTCAAGGCATCATTTACAAAAATAATAATCATAAAAATGTCTGCAAACTAAACATGCTACACTCCAACTTGACTTTGCAAGGACTCAAAACACAATGCTGTGGCGTACATACCTCATACGAAACTATTACCAACATGGGTTCATAGAGACAGTGTGGCTCTCTAAATCCTAGCAGAATCTACCACTCTGCTTCCTACAAAAGCCAAGACCTCAATATGTAGAGCACCGCAAGACAGTCCCAGTTTAAACCTGCTGTCTCAGCAGAGTAGTAACAGTGTTCCTTTCCACTTTGAAAAGTGAGAAGCTGTAGGTCATCTACCATCAAGGCTTCAGTTGTGGAAAGCCCACCTTTTACAATCTGTTTCAGTTCGTATGAAGCACTGAAACAGCTGATATAAAAATTACTAGCAGTCCCTCAAATTGTGGCTGAATTTAAAATTAAGTGCAGCGATAACAGTTGGAAAAGAAATACTCACTGACAAGTTTTGCAGCCAATATGGCCGATTCTGAACTTAAAAATCTAAAGCAAAATATGCTGTGTTCCTCAAAAAAAAAAAAAAATTAAACACAACATTACCATATGATCTAGCAATTCTACTTCTGGGCATATACCCAAAAGAACTGAAAGCAGGGTCTCAAAGATATGTTTACACACCCATGTTCGTAGCAGCATTATTCACAACTGTCAAAAGGTTGAAGCAACCCAAGTGTCCTTTGACAGATGAATACTTAAACAAAATGTGGAGAATATATGCAGTAGAAAATTATTCAGCCTTAAAAAGCAATGAAATTCTGACACAAACTACAACATGGATAAATGCTGCAGCTATCATGCTAAGTAAAATAAGTCAGCCACAAAAGGAACAAACACTGAATGATTCCACTTATATGAAGTATGCGGAGTAGTCAAATTCATTGAGACAGAAAGCACAATGGTGGTTGCTAGGGACTAGAGTGAGGGGAAATGGGATTATTGTTTAATAGATACAGAGTTTCATTTTTCAAGATGAAAAGAGTTCTAGGAATGGATGATGGTGATGGCTGCGTGACAATGTGAATCTACTTAACACCACTGAACAGTTTGATGTGGTTTGCTTTATTGTGTTTCATAGATATTCCATTTTTTACAAAGTGCAGGTTTGTCGCAAACCTGCATTAAACAAGTCTATCAGCGCCATTTTTCTCACACCAAGTATTACATTTTGGCAATTCTCAAAATATTCCAAATGCTTTTACTATTTTTATATCTGTTATGGTGATCTGTAATCTCTGATTTTACCACTGCAATTGTTGGGGGCCATTACAAACTACACCCCTATAAGACAGCAAACTGAACCAATAAATGTTGTGTTCTGACTGTTTCACCGACTGGCCATTCCTTGTCCCTCTCCCTCTCCTCAAGCCTCCGTATTCTCCGAGACACAATACTGAAATTAGACCAATTAATAATCCTATCATGGCTTCTAAGTGTTCAAGAGTCACTTGTCTCTTAAAATCAAAAGCTACAAATGATTAAGCTTAGTGGGGAAAGCATGTCATAAGCGGAGACAGGCTTCTTGCCCCAAACAGTTAACCCAGTTGTGAATAAAAACGGGAAAGTTCTAGAAGGGAATTTAGAGCGCTACTCCAGGGAACACCTGACTGACAAGAAAACAAAACAGCCTTAGTGCTGATATGGAGGAAGTCTGACTAGTCTCGACAGAAGATCAAACCAGTCACAACATTTCCTAAAGCCAGAGCCTCACACAGAACAAGGCCCTAACTCTCTTCAGCCCTATGAAGACCGAGAGAGATGAAGATGAAGAAGAAAGCTCCAAAGGTAGCAGAGGTCGGTTCACGTGGTTTAAGGAAAGGTGGCTAAATAAATAACACATTTTCAGTATAAATGAAACAGCCTTCAATGGGCAGAAGATGCCATCTAGGACTTTCACAGTTAGAGAGGAGAAGACAGTGCCTGGCTTCACAGCTTTAAAGGGCAGGCTGACTCTCTTTCTAGGGGCTGATGCAGCTCATAACTTTCAGTTACAGCCAATGCTCATTTACCAATCCAAAATACTAGGGCCCTTAAGAATAATACCAAGTTACTATGCCTATGCCCTAATCAATGGGTCAACAAAGCATGGATGACAGCACATTTGTTTACAACACGGTTTGCTGAATCTTTTAAGTCCACTGTTGAGACCTAAGGCTCAGGAAAAAAGATACCTTTCAATTTTTATACTCCATCAACAATGAGTCTGGTGACTCAAAAGTTCTGATGGAGATGTACAAGATTACTGCTGCTTCCAGGCCTGCTAATACAACATCTATTCTCATTCTACAGCCCATGGATAAAGAAGTATTTCTGACTTTCAAGTTTAAGTACTTTTCATAATGCTGTATCTGTCACAGATGGTGATTCCTCTGATAGATCTGGGCAAAGAAAATTGAAAACCTACTGGAAAGAAATCATCATTCTAGATGCCATTGAGAACATTCGTGATTCATGGAAGAAGGTCAAAATATCAATTGAACAGGAGTTTGGAAGAAGCTGACTCCAACCCTCATGGAGGACTTTGAGGGGTTCAAGACTTCAGTAGAGACATGGTAGATACGGCAGGAGATCTAGAATTAGAAGAGGAGCCTGCAGATGACTGAACTGCTGCAATCTCATGATCAAACTCATGAATGAATGAGTATATGCTTCTTTTAGACGAGGAAAGAAAGTGGTTTCTTAACATAAAACCTACTTGTGGTGAGGATGCTGTAAACACTGTTGATATGACAACGAAAGATTTAGAATGTTACACGAACTTAATTGATGAGGAAGGTTTTGAGAGAATTGACTTCAATTTTGAAAGAGGTTCTACTGTGGGTCAAATGCTATGAAACACCATCAAGCGCTACAGAGAAGTCTTTTGTGGAAGAAGAGCGAACTCATGTGGCAAACTTCAATGTGTTTTTATTTTGAGATTGCCACAGCCACCCCAACCTTCAGTAACCAGCAAGCTGATCAGTCAATGGCCATCAATATCAAGACAAGACTCTCCACTAGCAAAAAGATTAAAATCCCCTAAAGGCTCAGATGATCATCAGTGTTTTAAATTAAGGTCTGTACATTTTTTGCAGACATAATGCTACAGCATACAATAGACTACAGTATAGTGTAAACATAACTTTTATATGCACTGGGAAACCAAAAACTCTGTATGACCTGCTTTATTGTGATATCCACTTTATTTCAGTGGTCTGGAACCAAACGAATTTCTGAGGTATGCCCTATATAAAAAAGTAACCTGGGGAAGCAAAGTAAAAGATATTAATGCATTATAACTGATAAATGTTTCTAGGGGGAAAAAAGCATGATTGTCTACAACTTTTAAAAATTCAGGCCATGCACGGTGGCTCATGCTTGTAATCCTAGCACTCTGGGAGGCTGAAGTGGGAGGATCACTTAAGGCCAAGAGTTTGAGACCAGTCTGGGCAACATAATGAGATCTTGCCTCTACAAAAAAATTTAAAAATTAGCAAGATGTGGTGGCACACAGCTGTAGTCCCAGCTACTCGGGAGGATGAACCGGAAGGACAGCCTGAACACAGGAGGTCGAGGCTGCAGTGAACTGTGATTGTACCACTGCACCCCTCAATTTTAAAATAAGTCTCTTAAAAGTCCTGCTGATTAAACAGTATGGGTTTTATAACTAAATATTTTATGCTAATATCTCTTCTCCAGAAGAGAGACTCCAAATTATGCCATAACATCCCCAACACAATGAACACACTCTGTGAAAGTCACTTTCCCTTCCTTCCATACCGCAAACATCCTGTAAACAATGAAGGCTCCAGTCTTTTAGCGGACTGCTTTTGTTTACTGACAGGAAAGGAAACCACAAACTCTCCAAGTAGCAACAGGGACTCCAGAGTTTTGCTTCATTTCCTACGGGGCAGGTAGTTTATATGAAGCAACTGCCCGTTGTATTTTACCTTGTCTTGGCTTCAGACAGGGAAAAAAAGGGGGAGCTTTCAGTGGAGCAAAGTCTTCTGAAGCAAGAGAACTTGGAGCCAGGAACTGGGATGCAGAGTGAGAGGGAGGAAGGTTCTCCCTGTTCCCTGGTCTATCACTGAGAGGAGGCTTCTCACACTTCAATAGGAAGCTCTG